GAACACATAGTCTCCCAAAACTGGACCAGGAAGAGATAGAAAACTTGAACAGACCAATAACTACAGAAGAAATTGAAGATGTAATCAAGACTCTCCCAGCAAACAAAAGCCCAGAACTGGATGGCTTTATGGGGGAGTTTTACCGAACATTCAAAGAAGAACTAACACCCATTCTCCTCAAACTATTTCAAAAAATTCAAGAAGAAGGAAGACTTCCAAACACATTTTATGAAGCCAGCATAATTCTAATTCCAAAACCAGAAAAAGACACAAGAAAGAAAGGAAACTACAGGCCAATATCCCTGATATACATAGACGCCAAAATCCTGGACAAATACTAGCAAATTGGATCCAGCAATACTCCAAAAAAATTATCCACCATGACCAAGTAGGATTCATCCCAGGGATGCAAGGCTGGTACAATATTCGCAAATCAATAAACGTGATACACCACATAAGTAAAATGAAGAAAAAAACCCCACATGATCATATCAATAGATGCCAAAAAGCCTTCGACAAAATCCAGCATTCATTTCTGATAAAAACGCTCAGCAATGTGGGAATTAAGGGATCATATCTAGACATAATAAAGGCCATATATATAAGACCACATCATACTCAATGGGCAAACACTAAAAGCATTTTCCTTAAGAACAGGAACAAGGCAAGGATGCCCACTTTCACCACTCTTATTTAACATAGTATTGGAAGTCTTAGCCACAATCAGACAGGAAGAAAAAATAAAAGGAATCCAAATTGGAAAGGAGGAAGTGAAACTGTCATTATTTGCAGATGACATGATACTATACGTAGAAAACCCCAAAGACTCCATCAAAAATTTACTAGACTTGCCCTGGCCGTTTTGGCTCAGCGGTTAGAGCATCGGCCTGTGGTCCTGAGAGACCCGGGTGTGGTTCCCGCTAAGGGCGCGTACCTCGGTTGCAGTTTGTCCCCGGCCCTGGTCGGTTGTGCGGGTGGCAGCCACTCGATGTGTTCCTTTCACGTCGATGTTTCTCTCTCTCTCTCTGTTCCTCTCTCTCCCTCCCACTCTACCTGAACAAAAAATGGAAAAATGTCCTCGGGTGAGGATAAAAAAAAAAAAAAATTTACTAGACTTAATAAATGAATTTGCAAAGTAGCAGAATACAAAATTAATGTCAAGAAATCGATGACATTCTTATACACCAATGATGAACTCACAGAAAGAAAAACTAAGAAAACAATCCCAGTTACCATTGTGGCAAAAAAATTAAGATACCTAGAAATAAACTTAACCAAAGAAATAAAGGACCTATTCACAGAAAACTACAGGTCATTGAAAAAAGAAATAGAGGAAGATATAAAAAAGTGGAAGCACATGACTTTTTCATTGATTGGAAGAATTAACATCATTAAAATGTCCATACTACCCAAAGCAATCTATAGATTCAATGCAATCCCCATCAAAATACCAACGGCATACTTCACAGAATTAGAACAAGTACTTCAAAAGTTCATATGGAACCCAAAAAGGCCTCGAATAGCCACAGCAATCTTGAAAAGGAAGAACAAAGTTGGAGGGATCCCATTACCAGATTTCAGGTTATACTACAAAGCCACTGTAATCAAAATATCCTGGTACTGGCAGAAGAACAGGCATATAGACCAGTGGAACAGAACAGAGAACCCAGAAATGGACCCAAGGCAATATGCTCAATTAATATTTGACAAAGGTGGCAAGAGCAAACAGTGGAGTAAGGACAGCCTCTTTAATAAATGGTGTTGTGAAAATTGGACAGCTACATGCAGAAAAATGAAACTAGACTATCAACTTATACCCTACACAAGAATAAAGTCAAAATGAATAAACGACTTAAATGTGACTCATGAATTCATCAAAATCCTAGAAGGAACTGTAGGCAACAAAACTTCAGACATGATATGCAGTAGAATTTTCACTGATACATCACCAGCGGCAATAGAAACAAAAGAGAAAATGAACACATGGAACTACATCAAACTCAAAAGCTTATGCACAGCAAAAGATACAATCATCAAAACAGAAAGGCTACCCACTGTATGGGAGAGCATAATTGCCAATGATATATCAGATAAGGGGTTAATTTCCAACATATAGAGAGTGCTTATACAACTCAACAAAGGGAAGACAAGGAACCCAATTAAAAAATGGGCAGAGGAACTAAATAGACACCTCTCCAAACAGGACATCCAAATGGCTAAGAGACATATGAAGAAATGCTCATCATCACTAATCATCAGAGAGATGCAAATTAAAACAACAATGAGGTATCACCTCACACCTGTCAGAATGGCCGCCATCAACAAATCATCAAACAACAAGTGTTGGCGAGGGTGTGGAGAAAAGGGGACTCTAGTACACTGCTGGTGGGAATGCAGACTGGTGCAGCCACTATGGAAAACAATATGGTGTTACCTCAAAAAATTAAAAATTGAACTTCCATTTGACCCAGTGATCCCACTTCTAGGAATATACCCTAAGAAGCCCGAAACACCAATCACAAAGAATATATGTATCCCCATGTTTGTAGCAGCACTATTTACAATAGCTAAGATTTGGAAACATCCCAAGTGTCCATCAGTAGACGAGTGGATAAAAAAGCAGTGGTACATATACACAATGGAGTACTACGCAGCTGTAAGAAAGAAAGATCTCTTATCCTTTGAGACTACATGGAGGGACCTGGAAAGTATCATCCTAAGTGAAACAAGCCAAACAGAGAAAGACAAGTAATATATGATCTCACTTATTTGTGGAATATAATGAACATAACAGTCTGAGGAATGGGGTAGTCCCAGAGACGTGGAAGTGGGGTACAGACTGACAATCCACAGAAGAGGGGGTGGTGGGGAGAGATAAACCACAGAACTTATAAGCATGTATGCATAAACAATGGACATGGACAACAAAGCTGGGGACTGGGAAGGGAGAGAAGGGGAGGGGGGCATCAGTGGGGGGAAAAGGAGAAACATCTGTAACAAAAATTAATTAATAAAATAATAAAATACTAGAAAAAAAAGAAATAATTTACACAAGAAAGATTTATTTATTAAGGGTGCTTTTCTACAAATAGATTTTTGACTAGCAATTTTATTTTCCGCACAGTTACACTTATTTGGTCATCTGTACTAATATGACTAAATTTATATAATTTGTATTGTTCTGAAAATGTGTGATTTATATACATTTCAGTGAAGTTCTTCCTGGTATTTTCACATTGTATTTGTAGGTCTATTTTTATAATCTCTAAAAACTCTTGTTTGTATCTTTGCTTTGTTTCTTAGCCAGTAATGTTTCTAAATCAATCTTTAATTTGTAGTTTTAAAAGATTTTTTCTGGTTTCACTGACTTTTTTCTAATTCTTTACTATCTCTTCCTTGACTTACTGCTTTTATCAGCACATCCTCCCTTTTACCCTTGTGTCTGTCTCACTTTGTTTTTTTAGTGTCATCTTTTTAAATTCAATGTTTAGTCATAAATACATCATTAAAAACTTTAAATTCTGCGTCATCTATGCTTCACAAGTTTTGATGCACTGTAGTTTATTTTTCAGTTCTAAAAACTGTAATTATTCCCACTCTGATTCATTCTTTGACTAAAGAAATGTTACACATATAGTTTAAATTTTTGAATGTATTGGTGCATCATAATTTTTACTTCTAATACCATTGCATTTTGGCAAGATGATTTAGTCTCATTATGGATTTGGGTTTGTCTAAACTTATTTCATAGATAGTACCTAGTCAATTTTTTCTCAATTTTCTATGTGTTTGAGAAAAGTGTGCATTTTATAAATGTGGTCTCATGTATTATCTGTTATATCACATTTTTATTGCCTTTTATGTGCCCTGTATACTGTCTTTCAGATAATTAAACTATTTTTATTATATGTACAATAAAATATAAAATAAAATAAAAAGAAAACCAAGTTCACCAGAAGCAGATTGTGATGCTAAATAAGTGGGTCTTCTTTAACATAAAATAAAGAATACACAAGCAGCCTTGGTCTGTTTTGCTCATTGGTAAGAGCTTTGGCCTGAAGACCAGTGAGTTCAATTCCAGTCAAAGGCACATACCTCAGTTGTGGTTTGTCCTCGGCTCTGGTCAGGTTGTGCGGGAGGCAACCAGTCCATGTGTCTATCTCGCATCAATCTCTTTCTCTCTGCCTCCCTCCCACTTTACCTGATGATGAATGAAAAAATATCCTCGGGTGAGGATTAAAAAAAAAAAAAGAATACATAAGTAAAAGTTGACATATCTCAAAACAGACATGACAAATCCACAATTATAATTCTACATCATTTTTTTTGCATAAGATTTTCATATATATTATAAGAGATGATGAAAGAGCTAAAACTATCAATTAAGAACAAGGACTTATGAACAATCCCCATGGCAAACTTGACGTAGTTCACATATTAAATACTTATACATGACAACAGAATGCATATTCTATTAAAGTTATATGAAGGTGTCAACCATACAATAATTTTAGAACATTTACCTCACTGTGCTCCTGAGTGCAACAAGGCAATTTGGTGATTGTCCCTTACAGAACTTAACCCTATTGACACACATTTCTAAGGCCTGTTTTATATCTCTGTTCCTCAGGCTGTAGATGAAGGGGTTCAGAATGGGGGTAGCTACTGTATACATGACTGAAGCAATTACGTCTTTGGAGTCCCAGGATGAGGAGAAAAAGTACACAGCTGCAAGTGTCCCATAGTATAAAGACACCACAAAGAGGTGGGAGCCACAGGTAGAAAAGGCTTTTAAGAATTTCTTAGTGGAGGGGACCCTCAGGATGATTGTCCCTATACGGATATATGAACCCAAAACTATACCCAAAGACAGGAGGTAAATAAATCCTCCCTCCAAAAAGATGACGAGCATATTGAGAGAGATGTCTGAGCAGCTCAGCTTCAGTAGTGCAGTGAGATCACAGAAGAAGTGGGTGATGGTGATGTCAGCACAGAAGGACAGTCGGACCAAGAGGACGGTGTGCAACAGAGCATGGGCACTGGAGAGCATCCAGGAGACAACCACCAGCAGAGTGCACAGTCCCTCCCGCATGATGGTGGTGTAGTGCAGAGGGTGACAGATGGCTACATACCTGTCATATGCCATTACTGCAAGAAGGAAATTGTCAAGACCAGCAAAAATTATGAAAAAACACACCTGAGAAATGCATCCCATATAGCAGATGGATTGTCGCTGAGTCTGCATGTTCACGAGCATCTTTGGGACAGTGACAGAGGAAAGAGAGATGTCAGAGATGGCCAAGTGGCTGAGGAAGAAGTACATGGGCGTGTGCAGGCGAGAGTCCAGCCTGATGAGCAGGATGATGAGCAGGTTGCCCAGCACCGTGGTCAGGTACATGCCCAGGAACAGAGAGAAGAACACACCCTGCTGCCCTGGCTGGATGGGGAGCCCCAGGAGGAGGAACTCGGACACACTGCTCTGGTTCTCAGGCCTCATGCTGCTGTTTTTCTGCTGGGGATGAAGATGGTTGGGAATCTCAGGATGACCAGGACCATCACATCTCCTACTGATATTCGCTGGGACATGAATTTTAACTACACTCTTAATAATTTCTCACACCTGTGGATGTATGCATCTTCACTCTATCTCTGTCTGGTTCCAGGAATCATCACACCCCTAAAACAGAGAACAAGAACTCATTGCACAGAAAGAAGAGGTTGTTCATTGTTTTGTTCACCATGATTTAATGAATATTGAATCTGTGTAGAGATTACTACTAAGACTGGGATGCTTTTTAATTTGATGTAGCCTATTTATGACTTTTTCCTTTCTTTCTCTTGCCTTAGGTGATATATTAGTGAAAATACCTCTACATATGATGTATAAGCTTTTTATGCCTACATTTTCTTCTAGGATTTTTATGGTTTCACAAGTTCCATTTATGTCTTTTATCCATTCTGAGTTTATTCTTGTGTATGGTGTAAGTTAGTGATCTAGGTTCATTTTTTTTTTTGCATATGGCTGTGCAATTTTCCAAGCACCATTTATTGAAGAGACTGTCTTTTCTCCATTGTATGCTCTTACCTCCTTTGTCACATATTAATTGGGCATACTGTCTTGGGTTGATATCTGGGTTCTCTGTTTTGTTCCAGTTATCTATATGACTATTCTTGTGCCAGTACCAGGCTTTTTTGATTACACTTGCTTTGTAGTATAACTTGGTATTTGGTATTATGATCCCTTCCACTGTGTCCTTCTTGTGCCCAGGCTGGTTTGGCTCCATGGTTACAGTGTTGAATTATGGATCTATGAGTCATGGGTTCTGTTCTGATCGAGGACATGTACCTCAGTTGCCGTTTGTCCCGGCCCGGGTTGCGGTCATGCGGGAGGCAACCAGTCAATGTGTCTCTCTCACATCAGTGTGTGTCTCTCTTTCCCTCTCTTTCTGTCTCTCTCTCCCACTCTATCTGAACAAAAATGGAAAAATATACTCGGGCAAGGATAAAAAAATTAGAAAAACAAAATTCCTGAGGCTATTCAGGGTCTGTTTTGGTTCCATGTAAACTTTTGGAGTATTTGTTCTAGATCTGTGAAATATGCCTTTGCTCCTTTAAAAGGGATTGTATTGTATCTGTTGATTGCTTTGGGTAGTATGGACATTTTAATAATATTGATTTTTCCAATCCATGAATATGGTATATATTTCCACTTTTTAAAAATATCTTTCTCTACTTCTTTTTCTATATTTATTTTTTCATCAAAATTTTTTATCTTTATTGTTAAATGTATTAGAGATGTTCCTCATCCCCCCCACATTGACCCCCTCCTCCCCATTCCTGCCCCTTTCCTGCCTTTTCCCATACTGCTGTCTGTGTCCATTGGTTATGCATATAAGTTCTTTGGTTTATTTCTTCCAATCCCCAACCCCCTTTCCTTTGAGGTTTGTCAGTCTAGCAACCAATTTGTACTTCTTAATCCCTTCACTTTTTTCACTCATTCCCCCACCCCCCCTCCCATCTGGCAAGCAACAAAATGTTCTCTGTATCTATGAGAATGTTTCTGTTCTCCCTGTTCATTTTGCTTGTAGATTCAATTGTCGATAGATATGTATTCGATGCCATTTTTTAAATTCATATATTTTCTTTTTCTTCAAAAAGACCTTTCAACATTTCATTTAATAACAGTTTGGTGGTGATTAACTCCTTTAACTTTTTCTTGTCTGGGAAACTCTTTATATGGCCATCGATTCTAAATGACAGCTTTGCAGGATAGAGTAATCTTGGTTGTAGGTTCTTGCTTTTCATCACTCTGAATATTTATTGCCACTCCCTTCTGACCTGCAAAGTTTCTTTTGAGACATCAGCTGACAGTCTTATGGGAACTTCCTTGTAGGTAACTAATTGCTTTTCTCTTGCTACTTTTTTTTTTTTTTTTATCCTCACTCGAGGATATTTTTCCATTTTTTGTACAGATAGAGTGGGAGGGAGAGAGAGGAAGGGAGAGAGAGAGAGAGAAACATCGACGTGAAGGGACACATCGATTGGCTGCCACCCGCACGACCAACCAGGGCCGGAGACAAACCGCAACCGAAGTACGTGCCCTTAGCGGGAACCGAACCCGGGTCTCCCCGGACCGCAGGCCGATGCTCTAACCGCTAGGCCAAACTGGCCAGGGCTTCTCTTGCTACTTTTAAGATTCTCTCTTTATCTTGAACCTTTTGCATTTTGATGATGATGTGTGTTGGTGTGGGCCTCTTGGGGTTCATCTTCTTTGGGACTCTCTGTGCTTCCTGGACTTGTATGTCTGTTTCCTTCACCAAGTTAGGGAAGTTTTCTGCCATTATTGTTTCAAATAGGTTTTTTGATTTCTTGTGTTCACTCTTCTCCTTCTGGCACCCCCAAGATGCGAATGTTGGCACACTTGAAGTTGTCCTAGAGGCTCTTTACACTATCCTCATGTTTTTAGATTCTTTCTTTTTGCTATTCTGATTGGGTGTTTTTTTGCTTCCTCATATTCCAAATTGATGGTTTGCCTCTTGGCTTTACTTGCTCTACTATTGAATCTGTGTAAATTATTCTTTATTTCAGTTAGTGCCTCCTTAATTTCTGACTGTGCATCCTTCATTTATGACTGCTCCTTTTTTATGCTCTTGAGGCCCTCACTAAGTTCACTGAGGTTCTCACCACTGAGCATTCTTATAAGCAGTATTTTGAACTCAGCATCTGTTAAGTTGCTTATCTCCATTTGACTTAGTTCTTTTCCTGGGGTTTTGCTTTGTTCTTTCATTTGGGACCTATTTCTTTGTCTCCTCATTTTGGCTGCCTCCCTGTGTTTGTTTCTATGTGTTACTTAATGAGAGGTATGGGCCTAGCTGAGACCAGATGCTCCTTGTTTGAAAGAATTTAGAAAAACCTGAAGCAGGATCCAAGACAGGTTAATCCTATGGTAAAGCAACTGGCAACAGCTTGGGTGGGCCTGAAAGTTGGGTGGGGCAGGGCCTCAGGGAATCACCAGGGAGGGGAAACCAGTGTGAGCCAGGTTGCTGGAGTCTCAGATATGGCAGCTGTCTGCCGCCCCAGGGAAGGGCTCACCAAAGGAACAAAGGCCTCTGACAGCACGTTTGCCCTGGAGAAAGCCCCCTCTTCAACCCTGATTCCAATGCCAAACAGCTTAATTCTTCCCTGTATGTCTCTGGTGCCCCTCGAGCTGCCTCCCCTCCAAGCTTAGAGCGAGCGAGTCTGGTAAGTCCGTGCACATGACCTTTAAGAGGAGCTGCCTGGGGCTCCAGCCACCTCAGCATCCCTGAGCCTCAGTTCCCACTGTTTTTTCCAGCCAGAAGTTATGGGGACTTCTCTTCCTGGCACTGGAACCCTGAACGGGGCACCTGGTGTGAGATGGGACCCCTCAGTCCTCAGGGAGGACCTTCCCAATCGAGGTACCCTCCTGATTTTTATCTACCACAAGTGGATGTGGGACCAGCCCATCTGCCTCCGCCCCTCCTACCAGTCTCCATGTGGCTGCTTCTTTAATTCTATAGTTGTAGGATTTCCATTCATCTTGATTTCAGGTGGTTTTGAATGATGGTTGTTTTGTAGTTTAGTTGTAACTTTGATGTGGTTGTGGGAGGACATGATACCGCATTTACCTATGCCACCATCTTGACCAGAAGCCCTCTACTTCTTGTTCAATGTTCTGTAGTTTTCTGAGAACAGGTCTTTTACCTCCTTGGTGAAGTTTATTCCTAGGTATTTTATTTTGTTGTTGTTGCAATAGTAAATGGGATTTTTGGGTTTGTTTCCCTTTCTGAGTGTTCACTATTGGTGTCTAAGAATGCCATCAATTTCTGAATGTTAATTCTGTATCCTGCTACTTTGCCAAATATATTTTTAAAGTCTAGTAGATTTCTGATGGAGTCTTTAGGGCTTTCTATGTACAACATCATGTCAGACTAAAAAAGCTTCAGCATGGCAAAAGAAACCAGCATCAAAATGAAAGGGGAACCCGCTCACTGGGAGAATATATTTGCCAATGATACATTGGATAAGGGGTTAATATTCAAAATATATAGAGTGCTCATACAATTCAACAAAAGAAGACAAACAATCCAATTAAAAAATGGGCAGAAGACCTGAATAGACACTTCTTCAAACAGAACATTCAAATGGCCAGGAGACATATAGAAAAAATGCTCAACATCTCTAATAATCAGAAAGATGCAAATTAAAATGACTATGAGATATCACCTCACACCTGGCAGAAAGGTGCCATCAACACATCCTCAAACAACATATGCTGGCGAGGATATGAAGAAAAGGGTATGCTAGCACACAGCTGGTGGGAATGCAGACTGGTGCAGGCGCTATGGAACACCACTATGGTGTTTCCTCAAAAAATTAAAAATGGAGCTGTTATTTGACCCAGTGATCCCACTCTTTGGATTATATCCTATGAAGCCTGAAACATCAATAAGGAAAGATATATGCACCCCTATGTTCATAGTAGCACTATGTACAATAGCTAAGATCTAGAAATAGCCCTCGTGCCCATCAGGAGATGAGTGGATAAAAAAACTGTGATACATTTGCACAAAGGAATTCTATGCAGCTGTAAGAAAGAAAGATCTCTTACCTTTGTGACAACATGGAGGGAACTGGAGAATATTATGCTAAGCGAAATAAGCCAGTCAGAGAAAGACAAGTAACACGTGATCTCACTTATGTGTGGAACATAAAGAACAAAATAAGGTGTCAACCAAAAGGGACCTGAAATCATGGAAGTTGGGATCAGACTGACAAACCTCAGAGGAATGGAGGGTGGGAATGGTGGGAGGAGATAAACCAAAGAACTTATACGCATATATGCACAACCAATTGAAAGGAATATTGGGTTGGGGAAGACTGTAGGGGGGTGGGAGCAAGAAGGAGGGTGCATTGGGGAAAAGGGGGGACATATGTAATACTTCCAACAACAAAAAGAAAAAGGAAAAAAGAATGAGA